TCCTAACGGAATATTTACTAAATATAAACACATATTTATTAAATACAAAAGCCATTAGCTTGATTTAACTATCATTTTTTTTTTATTTATTTAAATTTATTTACATTTATTCACCGTAAATAAATATCCCGTCAGGACTATTCAAAGGAATATTCATTAAAATTTAATAAACTTTTTTCTCAGTGTATGAAAATTAGACGAGTTATTTGCTAGTTTTACGGAGCTTGTGATAAAACTGTCGTAGGATTCCCGGCGACAACGTGGATCATTTATACGCGCTATAATTGGCAGAGAAGCGGAAATAAGAGTTTACAAGCGATCTTTGTGGTTAGCTGAGAAAAGACAAAGGTCGCAATATACACGCGTTAGATGCAAATATACCGGTTTACGAGCTGATGACAACTGGAGAAGAGAACCGGGTAATCGCTGCGGGGCTTCGTCGACGCTCAGTTCAGCAGTTGAGTTTAACGTGCCGCCGTCTTTACCAGGACGTAGGAAAGGTGTGTCCGCCCGTCTTTAACAAGATTGCTATCTAGTATCGCCGCGCTAAGCCAATTTACTGCCGGCGTTGCGCAACGTTTAGATAATTTATCGCGACACCGAGTCTTCCATCCTTACTTCCCTCTTCCGGCTTTCGCGTCGCGCGCGAAAGCTCGCGAATTTCCCGGATGTCTCAAGTTCTACAGTATTCATTAACGATTTTGCGACGTTCCTCTGTACGAGTAGGTCAAAATAACTCGAGAGCGGATGGAACAGTGAGTTAATCGGCCCGAGAATAACTAACTGGTAATTACAACGATCTATCATTACAGCCGCGCCCGCGTAACATCGGGAAATGCAATAATATCTTGCGGACAATATTTATACGCATAATTGTACCTGCTCCAAGTGCCCTGGGTATAACCGAATAATTCATACTTTAGGAGCTGTGCTATTATTAATTCGTTATTAACGCACATCCGTCGAGACTTCAGTGATGCTCTTCTCGGAACGGGGTCAAAAATCTCGGTCAAAAGGCAACGCACCCTGTAGTTAGCAGGGATTTCATCTCATTATCACGTGCCCGTAATAATTAATCCCCCATCTCGCGCAGCGAGCGAGAGTGAAATAGATATGTGTCGGTGTCGTGACGTTACGCGGCCAAGCCTCACTATAATGAAACACAGACGTCGAGTGTGTGCGAGTAATTCAACGAAGTTTCTGTGTCGGATATGAAAAGAATTTTGTAATCCGAATGGAAGTTATTACCGTACGAAATTTCCGTACGAAAAAAAATCATGCAATATTGAGCGAAAAAGGCAATTTTACTTTTGTTACGTCAAACAAAAGTGAAATTATTCTCGTCTTCCGAGCTCACTTCGAAATCTCTTCACATTCCTTGCCGCAGAAGATAATATGTGCCTCACACTGAATTTTCCGTTTGACATCATTTTCAACACTACATGTAATATTATTATAAAATATTTCCTAAAATGTATTAATGCTTAAATATTAGATATTAAGTGTAATATAATGATCAGTATGATCACATTGTGGGAGCATCGTTACATCATATTTTTTAATGATAATTAATTTATATACTATTATATGATATATGTTTAAAATACATACATATATAATATAAGCTATAAACACGCTAGAGATCCTCTAGCAAGTCTAGTTACGATAGCAACAACATTTGACTCTTTATTGTAGAGTATATATGTATAGTAAATCGTATACGGTTGATCCTATATACTCCGTAATATACAGCTATTTCCGTCATATTTATCTCATGAAAAGATTACTATGTGATCAGAATTTTACTTGAGAATCTCTAAGCAAAAACTATTAGTGACTTAAACGGAAAGGTACTGAAAATCGTTCAAAGAACGTGTTAATTTTCAAGTCGTTTAATCCTTTGCTGTCCTGCATCGGGCTAGACGTAATGACCGTTTACGGTAATCTTTTTCATAATTCTCCAAGCATTTCAATCAAAACATTAGATATAATCAACAAATAAATATCAAATCTCCATTAATTTCTTTAAATAATAAAATCGCTTTGATTTATACAATATTAGACTCGACGTTTATTATTAGGTGTAAAAGGTAAAATGCTCACTTGTGAAAAATAATTTAGATCGCAAAAAGACGAAAATGGCTCTGCGGGGTCTTACATACATTTTAAAATTACAGCAAGAAAGAGAAGGATTTCGTAATAGCTCGTACAAGAATAGGTCGTATAAAAAAAACTCTTGCTAATTATACGGTAACGGCATCGCACGACTTCATCGCGAGCAGACTCGACAATAGCACGACAATCGCGGCGCCTACGTTGACGATCGCATTTGGACTTGGCGTTACGTCACCGTTCGTCATTAATATATTGTGGGGCCGCTTTAACCTGGCCTATCGATATATCATTGCACTCCGGAGAGTGCCCGGTGTGATATAATCCCGTCGTAAATTTGCCAAACGAGGCAAACCAAATAAAATAAAAAAAGGAAAAAAAAAAGTGAACGGCGGTGCGTTCGCGCGCGGATCTTTCTTCCTGTCTCTCGAATATCAAAATTCATGGTGCGCAACGTTGCGCACGGAGCGTCAGATTTGCAACATTCATCGGCGATACGTGTCTCCTCCTGAAACGCGGTGCATGCACACTTTTACCGTAATTTACGGCGCGAAGCGTCGCTCCATATGTTCCCGGGGCCGTGAATTACGGGGGCTGCGCACCGCGCGGCTCTCTACGTACGTACGTACACTTGCACCGATCCCGGTGTGCGTCGGTGCCGCGGTAATGGAGTCCATATCTTCAAAATTTAACCTGAAAGCTTAGTACTTCGCGGAAACAGAAGGGACGCTCGTATAGCGGTTTATCACGCACGCGATGGACTCGCCGCTTCTCGCGTGTCGACTCCGCGCGCGTTATCGGTTAAGAGGCTAGAACTATACCGATTTCTCATTCAATCGCGTCTCGACGGAAACCGCTCTATTTTGCTGTGTAAAGCGTCACATAGAATCCTTTTAACGGTACATCACTCGTTAATTTAAAGCCAAATGCATTGCAAGACAATTGCTCCTCCATTTACTTTCTCTCTTCCTTCGTTTCTCTCTCTCTCTCTCTCTCTCTCTCTCTCTCTCTCTCTCTCTCTCTTCAGCTCTCTTCCTTCTTCCCTTGCCATGTTAGACTGATATTTCATGTGTTGTATGATAAACTTTTTAAGCGTTTTAATTGGCTATAGGATAGAAAAAAACTTCTTCGTCCTATAACCAATCAATAAGCTTCAAAAGCTTTGACACATGAAATATCAGCTGTAATGGGCTAATATTTCATTTGTCGTACAAATTTTTCAAATGTATTGATTGACTATACAGAAATAGTTCTCAAGTTTCCAAAAATTCTCTATGTTGTAATCAATCAATGCACTTGACAAATTTATTTGTATGACAGATGAAATATTGGCCTTAGAAACAGCCTTCTAAACAGAAACAAGACGCTTTCCATTCAAGCAATTCCGCTAAATTTAACATACATATCACGAATATGTGCCGGTTATCCGACGTAATTAAAACGTAATATTCCATGTTTAATCGCGGCTACGATCGCATGAGATCCACCAGAATTTCTCGGCGACATGCATATATCAAAAGTCCGCAAAAGCGTGGGTCCGGATCGAGACGTCGTTCCTCTCTCTCTCTCTCTCTCTCTGTATATATATCCGCATAATAAATCTTCCGGCCGACCGAGTTTCTCGTAATCCAATTAAGATTTTCGCGACTCTGTCCTCATCCTTTCACATCAATTATCGCGGCGATCCTGGCGGACTTAAAATCGTGGGCGCCGCTAAAGTCATCACGGAGCACCGTGCGCACGAGTTTTCCGACGACAACGCGGAGCCGACAAGGACCGCTTTTTGCCTAAGAGCCTTGGGCTTCTTCTCCAGTCCCAAGCCTTTGTTAGAAAGGGGTTAAATCGCGCTATATATACACATCGAAGGGTGACCGGGCGGCGGTGAGTGATCGATCGTTGAAGGACCGAGGAGACTCGTTCTCTTTCATGCGCACGCATCGTCGTCGTGCATGTCACGCGCGCGTACAATACGCGATAACGGTATACTCCACGTACAACCCACGTGTGCAAAACGCGGAAATAACAGAAATACTCGCATCGGAAAAAGGGAACTGTGTGTGTTGAAGCGGAATCTGGGATGTTACCGTCAAATAAACGTATTTTTTTATTGGGACAAGGACGTTAGGCAATTTTGGGAAATGTTTTGTTTCCACGTCCCCTCGTGGACAATGCGATTTTCATTGTTATAAATCTTTGTACTCTGCCTAAAAATATTTATTATTGTATTAGTATAGTTTTCGCGTGTGTGTTTGTTAGATTCAAATTAGATTTCAGTTTTTTTTTTTTTTTCTGTTTAAAGTATTATCTCTATATAGTACATTTTTATGTATGTATGACGTTATATATAATTACGGAAAAGGTTTAAAAAAAAATATATATATATATATATGATATAAGAGAAACGTTGGATAGCGAGGAGAATAAATATATTTTCAATCAGAATGGTGACATTTTTAATTTAGGAGTGGATTTACTTTTCTTCGCGTGGCTCAGAAAATTCCACTAGAAATCACATATCTTTTCTCCTGCCAGGCTTTCTGACTTTAGTCGAGCCGATGTATTCTTGATGAAATCATGATTGATGTACCTAATCTTTCTTCGCAATGTCAGCAATTTCAATATTAAATATCTCGATGTAGTTAAACATTCAATGAGAATTTTTTTTTAAATCTGCTTAAAAAATAGTTTTGCGTACGAGTATATAATCTATCATCAAATGTCTGTAAAAATATCGGTTCGGATTGAAGCAAGTTTTCAGTTTTGTTCCTCCGAGGATCATTACGGGTATTCGTTCGGAGAAGGTAGTTAAGAGACTGCCGGGACAATCGCGATCGGGTTATATTGATTAAGGAAGTTCGCTTTGTACGAAACACGTTGCTTATACTTGCCTTCGGTGACGAAGACGAAGATCGATGCCGGCTTGGTGTTGGAGGCGCTGCACGTGTAATTGCCCGTGTCCGCCTCCACTGCCTGGCGAATCGTCAGTCGGCTTTGAGTTGGTCCTGGATCGGTTTGTACGGTCACGCTGCCGCGCGTGGTGTCGTAGTTTATCATCCGGTTATTGTGATACCAGAACACGTATTGCGGCGGCGTCGGGCTCTAGAGCAGATAGAAGAAGAATGGCGTCCGTTGACAAGCATGAGATTTAACGTGCGGATTTTTCCCAGCACAAAGGCAACGACCGGAGAATCATCGAGCCTTTGCGGCTTCGTGACGTTCGTTATGAGGATTTCTTTCGGCGGAATAACGCGTCTTTGTGCTGGGCATTATGCGCGCCGACAGGTTTCGCTTTGCGAATCTTGGCGCTTTTGTTTTCTTACTTTTTTGCAGAACGATTACATGCTGGAAGACTTAGCTTCGTTTATACTCAGCTTTACTTTTGATATGTTTAGGATGCGTTCCGTTTTGCTCTTACAACGCGTGTGAGCATCATTTGTCCTTGTTTAATATTTGATAGACAATAAGGATGAACTGATGTTTATAGCGCGTGAGCGTGAAAACGGAACGTACCCCCCTCCCTGTAATGTTCATTAACATTCATTATAAAGCTCAAATTGACGCTTTAATATAACATAACATTCATATACCAGAAATATTTTCCTGCGCATCTTGTGTTCTTGTTTGCTTTATTTAGAAATAAAATAAAAGTAAACAACGAAGACTCCTTTTGGCGTCTATGTAAACTATGTAATCTATGTAAACTACAGTCCAAATTACAAATTCATCTATATTTTAAGTTTTAAAATCAGCAGACGTTTTTAATAAATATTAATATTGAAGCATCATTAATATTAGGAGATACGAGCAAATAAAATTACAAAATTTATGATAAATTAAATTTAAAAAATACACACAGAAAAAATGTGATATTTTAATTAATATTAAATAATTAACGTACAAAATGTAATATCCGTACTAAGAAGTATAGCAACAAAGTGCTTGTTGAAATAAATTTTAATTGTGAAAGTACTGGCTCTTTACATAATTTAAAAGAAGCAATTTTACGTTCTCGTAACAGTGATTTTGAGACACTGTGTACGTTTACGTAACAAGTATGTCAGATATATCTTGAAATAATTAAACGTCAACTTGCGAGAATTTAATATTTGCTTTTGCGGGCTCTGGCTAAACGCGCGCGGGAATTTGGTCGCAAAAACACGAGTTTATATAATAGGTTGGGTTTCGTTGAAAACGAGCGCGCGGAATTCAGCTGTAGCTGCGAGCGATGAGGCCCATCAGCGTTTATTATAACGCCGGATACACGTTTACAGCGACCCTGTCGTGTCATAGAATACAGGAAGGATAGGTGCGTGAAATGGTGTGTTGTTAAGGTCAAATACTCGCAAACTTCCAACCACATCGTCGTCAGGAAATTCGCAATATGCTGAGCGATGACGAAGCCGTGTAAAAGGCGCGGAGAATAAAGGCTGCTCCAAAGTACTCTCTTCTCTCAACATACCTTATTTGTTCGTCAACATCGTTTTCTTACTACATAAGACATTATCTCAAAAATGCTTCGCATGCAGCTATTTCGAAAGTTTATGAATATATCGTTAAGGATATTACAATTGTATTATTTTCTTTTCATTAAGAATTTAAATGAGAATATCGCGTCGATATTTTAATATTGTGCTTAAAAAAGCACGATTTTGTAAAATATGTGAATACTTATGTATTATATATATATATAAAACTGAGAGAAATGTTTGGTATATCCATTTTGTTGATACGTGACTAACAAAAATTGTCTTATTTTTTCATTAAAAAATTGTACGTCCTAATCAAAATTTCGTTATTCTAATTAAAATTCAATTATTCTAATCAAATTTTGATCAGAACGATAAATTTGGTTAGAATGAAAAATTTTGTTGTCCCAACCAAAATTGGGACAATACAATTTTTTAATGAAAGAGTAAGAAAGTTTTTAATCACATATATATTAACAAAATGAATTGTTACATGTAACATTTCTCTCAGTGTAAAGCAATAACGTACAAATTTATTTAACGCAACTGTTAGCGGGTTGCTCGTACTGTCTCGTTAGTAACTGGATATATGGATTCGGCGTGTGCGCCTTATAGCGTATAAATTTCCGCCCAATGTAGCTGCGGGATCCAGACACGTGGGATACTGCTCGTCATCCGTTTATTGTAACGTCGGATGCGTGCATATTGTGGCAGCGGCGTCGAGCCGCAAAGCGGGTGAAGAATAGACGCGCGAAACCGTAGCGTACAAGCAACGAGGATGCGGGATACCCGAGGATTTTCGGCTTCATGGATTCTGTCCGGCAAAGCAAGTGCAAGTCAGGAGTCAGAGGCCACGCATTCCTCTATGCTAAATGCTCGTTATTTTATTCCGTTTAATATGTTCCTCAAACAGTTATGCAACCGAATGCTCGCCATTGCGCGATGTATAATGAGAGTGTGTATATCACAGAAACGATCGTTGTTTTTCTCATTATTGTACATCGTTGCGTCGACGAACAAGGTGCGCTTGGTGCAAAGGTAGGAATAAAATTGAAAAAGAGATCTGCAGACGTACGTCATGAATATATGGTTAGAAATGTAGTTTCGAATGAATACGGAAAGAATAATTTTGTTGAAGTATCTAAAAAATTTAGCTAGATACAGATCTGGAAATAACTTTGCTGGATTATTAAAATTATTATGTAGAACGCTGAAGTATAATGAGCAGTGCTGCAAAAAGTTTTGACATCTGGCAACCAGCTTGAGCGTCCTACTTAATTGTTTTGATGGTCTAACAAAATTATTTTCAGATTTATACCTAGTTTTTAGTTAAAATATTCATTCTTTGTGTTATCAATAAAATTAAATTGACAACAAGTAACACACGGTTATAAACGTAAAATTGTCTAATAATTTATTTTTTTCGTTTAGTTAAAAATATAGCTTTCAATATAGATACAAATTATTTGAATAAATTGTTAATTTAATATTTATTTAATATCTTCTTCGTGATTTGTGGCACAAGGGGAGGGGGAAAGACGGATTTATTTTAAAATATTTAAAATTTTAGATATATAGATATAGATTTGAAAATAATTTTAATGATTCATCAAAATAATAATTACATATATATATATATATATATATATATATATAGGACGTTCAAATGTGATGAGCAATGCGGCAAAATATTTTGACATTTTAGGAACCAGCTTGAGAGTCCTATATAATTATTTTAATAATTCGATAATATTATTTTCAAATCTGTATTTAGTCAAATTTTTAGATACTTTAACGCGAAACTATTCTTTTTCCATGTAGACTCATATATTTCCGCTATTCTTATTAGATGATACATACTGTGGGTTAAATTTCTCTTTTTTCTTATAAGATATTTCAGCAAATTATCATGTAATTAACTCAATAATGCTGCATGTTGCGAGCTTTTTGAAATGCTATCGTCGATTTTATACCGCTAAAGGCAAATAAATCTCTCCAGAGACGCTGGCTGTATTCACTTTGTGCTTTTAGGAAATCATATAAATTATACCATTGTTCTCGCGAGACGACAAAGTGGAGTTTCAACGAGGCAATGCGAGTTACACGGCAGAAGAAAGCGAATTGTATCAAACAAATAGTACAAACTATTAACACCACGCTAATTACGCCGCTACTTATCTCTGGCAGCGGTATGCATAAAGTGCATGCATAATGTAAGACAAGCGATAGTTTCTGTCATATGAATGTGAATTACAATGTCAATAAAACGAATGCAAACATCTGAGATTGAACAAGTCCGGTTTTGCATAAATTTGCATTATACCGCGATGATATTACAAGTAGTTATAATTTATAAACAGTGAATGATTTACTAATGTTATATCGATTATGAATAAACGTACATATGAAATCGCGCGTGATCGATGGGATTAATGTATACATGTAGAGATTACTGTAGATAAATCAATAGATTTCGTTTTGTTGAATTTACGCGATATTGTACACAAATTTACCAATTTCAATTTAATAAATATGGTTTTATTCTCGTGGTTGAAAACACAATTGTTGTTATTTTTGGACATCAAATAGACTCATACGTATCATATTACAAGTTTAATAATCATATTACACTTCTGGCAGTTAACGAAAAATGTATCATCAAACATTTCAATTTGTCAATCTCTGTACGTTCGTAACGTTTTTTCAATACGCTTTTTACAATGTTTCGAAAAGAGTATTTGCGTTTTTTTTATGTAATTCATTATGTTTACTTTCGCTAATGATATACTGTTAGAATTTTGTGTTGTTTCTTTAAAAAGTCTAACTGTATAAATAACGAACGCGCGACGTAAAGTAGAAATGGACGAAATTGTGGCAAATACATAAAATCTCAGTAGCTGCATCTAAATCTCAAGCGTTCCTCGACAATGGAGATTTATATTAGTCTAGAAAGTCCATCCTCCTTTTTGCGAATAGCCGCGTTTACGTCGTTCGGTAAAATAAGCCGACACCGTTGCGTGAATCACATCGCTCGCAGTGCCAGTGGAAAAAAACTTGAACACGCTCGACGGCGAGCGCCAGACGCTAAGCAGAAACGGACGAATCCGTTGAATAAGTAGAATGAAGCGCGACAAGCGCGCCCACCTCTTTTCATCTTCTACCGAGAAAATGAAACTCGCTTTACTTTCCCGATTGTTCCAAGTATGAGGAAAACATCGGTAAAGAATAAACAAAGGATGATAGTGCAGACGCAAATCTAAGTGAGAAAATACGGCTTTCCATTGCATTGCTTTTTAGTTAATTACAGCAGGCTTTCACTTTGCGCGCTTTTGCGTTGCGAAAAATTCTACAGCTCACGAGAGGAATTTTTATAAAGTCCATTGTTCGTCGTCAGTCAGTTCAGTTTCGTACATCGATGGCGCTATAAAAGATCAGCGTGTCTCTCATTCCGCTCCGTTGGAAAAAAAAATCTCGTAATTTCGTTCCACATCGGAGCTTTCGTAAAATTTCGTACTGTCCGTTTGGTGTGATGAAGGATCAATTGCCGCGGTGGAGCCGACGTTTCTGAGAGAAATATCTTCGAGAATGTCGGATTCCATTGTTCCATCGCTGTTCTTATATCGGAAATGGAGG